CAAAATCCTGGAGGCTGGGTAGAGAGGATGGATCCCGTTAGTGCAGAAGGCGATTGAACGAAGGCTGCAAGGATGTTCCGGAACGGCCAGCCCAGTCACTAAGCCGTCTGACTGGATACTTCCAGTCCACTCACAGTATTGCTCATCCTGTCTGGCATCGGAGCAGATTGAGTGTATGGTCCAGAGATCATGTTGACCATCTGGATGAGAATTCTCTTCGGAAGCTCAGTAGCATATGAAAAAAGAGAAGACCGACTCATAAAAAAATGAGAGTCAGGGAACAAGACGTAGCTGCCGGCATTAGTATGGATTGTTGCGCAGAAGCGAGTTTTTGCGGTCGTTCTTCTCTTCCCTGAATTTATTTTTCCTTCTTTATGATTCCGATTCCACAGATCGCCGTTTCGATTTATTTTTCACCATTATTTTTTTGTCCTACCAAATTGGTCGGCACGGCGGCCGCTCAGGGACAAGAAAAATAAATCCATCGGGAAGAGATGAAGCAGACCGACCAGCCGACAAAAGCCTTCCCCCACAAGGCAGGCTGGGCTCATACCACCGCGCTTGTGAACTCGCTAGACGGTCTAGTACTACACAGTACATCGTCAGGTCATCGTGGTGACGATCTAGGCAATGTTGCCGCTGATTTTCATTTGACGGGTCGATTGTCGGAAGGTGGCCAATAAGTCAGAGTAAGTATAATTAGTAGCAATGCGAGAAAGCAAAGTGGTCTGTCTGCACCTGTGCATCGTAACATCGGATCGAGACAGACAATGGCCCATGCACGAGAACCATGCAGGAGTAGCAAAGCCCCGCCAACATGAATCAACCGTCAGACAGTAGTCCACTATAGTCCTGCATGGACAGGTTGTCACTGAGGCCGATGGGTTTCCCACCGGCTCTCTTCGACCTTCCCCGACGAGTCCGAATCACGGTCGTTTATGGCCAGGGATGAAGACCACCGTATCCATTGATCAACGGACCGTAATGGAGATGAGCGGGGGTTTCGGGGTGTGAAATCGACCAAGAGAACGAAGCACATCGCGGGAAAAGGGGAAGATCGAAACAAAGGGAGTCCCGAGACGAGGAGGACTTGCCTTTGGGGAATGGCAGAGGGGCCTGTGGCGCAGTCTGTAACCAATTAACCGCTGACCGTACCATACTACTATAGTACTAAAAACTACCAGTAGGAAGGGTAGAACCTTCCGGCAACCAGGTAAGCTTACCCTACTTGGCCGCTGTTTGGTTTGGTAAAAAGCCAGCACTTCGGTACCCGCCGCGGAGGTACCGGTGACTTCCTGGCAGGCGGGAACATTGTGGCAGACCCACACCTCAGGTACCCGTAGCGCTTGTAACTAAAGGGAATTCCAGACTGCGGTAAACGCTGGCGAGGGCTTGGAAAACCTGCGGTGCGTAAAATCATGATGTTTTTTATTTTTATTTTTCTATTTTCTTTTAATACTTGTTTTTTTTTTTTTTTTTTCTTTCTGTTTCTTTTTAAGAGGAGAAAAATTTCCGATTGATGAAGAGATTGACTCGAAATGATCCAAATGTAAGGTCTTGATCTATTTAATTTTTATAATTTACTACTTATTATGTGTTTGCAGTGTGTATGTCGAAGTAGTTTATCATTTAGTCTCTCAATACTCGAAATTCTTGGATCTTGTCTTAGCAAGTCTGACCCATGTATGGCGCTGATGCTGTTCTTTGCACACTAGGCGCCCTAGTAGGTTAATTAACTTCAGACCAACGTATCTTCACCCTCCGCCAGAGATGTCCATCGTGGTCGGAGTAGTATTTCTTAGTATTCTCTTTCCTAATATTAATAATACTTTGTAAACTCAGGCTACAAGAATTCCTCCTCCGTATAGCTAGTGCTCTTTCTATGTGCGTGTGTATGTGGGCGTGCGTATATGCTTTAGTGTCTGTGTTCTCTTCACCGTCTGGTAGCATAGCGGAAAAATTCATATTAATTCATTTAAAGATGCATGACTAGTTAAAGTTTTCGAGGGAAGTATCTAGCATGTAGTTTTACCTTCCTGAAGAAGGCAACTGATGATATCCACCAGAGAGTATTTGTGTGAAAGAATTGGCCTGCGCTTAGGTGCAAGATCCATGTTCTAAGACGGTCTGCCTCTTCTGCGCACAGATGTGTCTTTTGACAATCCCCCGATACTCTGCATTAGTTAGTTAAGTTAGTCAATTCCTACGCTTATTCATTAAGCCCATCGCGGTTTCACTTCGGTTTCCTCTTATCCCTTCTAGTCTTACACACATTCCTTTTTCAGTTTTTTACATTAAGTAGCTACTATTTGTAATGATGATGATTTCTCATCCTTTTCTTTTTCTATAAGCCCTAAAATAAAAAGCACCCGGGGTTCTGTGTGAGAGGACGGAATTGGCCCTAAGCAGCGATGAAATGCACGCATGTGGATCGCATATCATAATCCTCGGCTATAGGTGTCTGCTATCTCGCTATAGTGTGCCGTGTACCTAACGGGGTACACCGGAGGCACAACTCAAGGCCTGAACATCAGTGCTGGTGGATTTGCTCCGAAAAAGGTACCTATTATGGCTGTTGAGACCTAGACAGGTACTTAGGAGGTACCAGTTACCTCGGAGGCTCTCTCTCTCTCTGGGTGTGGGTAAGTAACTATGAAATGGCCCCAAAACACTTCTCCCCTCATCCTAGTTATAACAAGAATGTTATAATACCATACAATACTAGTAGTATAGTGTAGTACATACACAGACAGGCCAACTCCCTCTGCGGTCATCCAACCCACTCTATTGAGGCAACACCGGTTCATGCATGGTCATATCCTGATTGTCATGGCTTCAATTTCCCATCACCCCGTCTTACGTTTGACTGGACACAACAAGCTCTGTATCACGATTCGCTCTTCCCTTCTCTTTCCCTTACCTTTAAATGCTGAAAGGCTGGGGATCACTGCCAGGTCCCATGGTTCAGACGAAGGTTTCACAGAAAGAAAGTTCAAACTAAGCACGGACTCCGAGAAGAATTAGAGCGTTCCGTCCGGCGTGGGACGGCCTGCATCTTGGAATCTCGAGATCAGTCCAGTCATCCAGTGAGTTCTCCTCCGTGCTAGGTCCGTCCCTGCTCCGGATGGAGATTCCGTGTACCTAGTGCTGCCATTAAAACGGTAGTGATCCCATTTGACTCCATCCATCCGGCTAAGTCTACCTGACCACCCACTCATTTTGAACTCTGCTGCGCTACCTACGGAGTGCATATACTTCCTGCCTGCATTTACCCAAAATGCGACGGCCTCCTCCAATCGCTAGCCGCCCCGAACCACGTCAGTCTGGAAGCACGGTAGAAGAATGCTCCTGAATTCGACATGTCGTCCAGTACAGTCATTGCGTTGCATTCTAATGCTTCTCTTGCAGATCCTTTTTTTCCACCTGCGTTCTCCACTGCATGTGAGTCCAGTACACCGGCCGTGGTATCCATGTCGCCATTTGATCTTCCGTCCGACCACCTAGCCATTGGATGGGAGGATTAGGAGAGGGAGCTGCATGGCCAGGCGGACCCTAGCCCTAGTCTTGGTGATTTGGGCGTCTCGTGGCCTATGATTTTGACTCCCGCATAAGCGAACCGCAAGTTGGTTGGAGGACAGTCTCTCCGTCTCCCCATCTGCAGGTGCCGGTCGTCTTAGCTTTCACGCGCTCTTCCTGCTTCATAACTACCCGGTGCCCCGTCCTCGGAAGATGCGACGGGAAGGGGGTAGCTGGACTTGAGATGGTACAGTAAGTCTGAATCTCCCAGGATTACGAATCGCAAGTTCCCTCCTGTGCTTTGACCTACGATGCCTTCGCTTTGTCTTGCTGGCCTGTCATTTTTCCATTGATTGTAGTCCGTTTCTGCACCTCCGTTTTCTCGGTCGTTGGCTTGAATTTGGCCCCGAATGCAATGTCCAGGTCTCATAACTCCATTGAAAGCCAGCTTTGCTGCTTAGAAAGAAACCGTTCCAAGTGCTTTTGCTGACACTCTGATTTCTGCAAAGGTATCGCAGAGTCGAGTTTCTACTTAGGGACTATGACAACATGGATTGCCTACCAGATCTGCCCCGTCCTAGCACCATGACACCGTGAAGCCGAGTGCTCAGATCTTAATAACCCCACGATAGCTACAGTATTGAACAACTCCCAAATGCAAAGAGGTTACAAGGGCAGAAAAGACCACATATAACAAGTGACCGTTAGTGGACCCCGAGTCAAGCATGGGTTGGTTTATGCTGGGTCGATACTCGGTTAAGATCAGTTGGAATGCAAAGATGATAGCACGCGTCGAGCACCCACTGTCTCATCTGTGAAAGCGATGCATTTACAGAGGATGAGAACAAAGGTATAATTCAATGCGTGTTTAATTCCGCATTCTCGATTAGACCTTTTGTGTGCTTCAAAAGAGATATACCAACAGTGAAGGATTATTGTCATGGTTTGAATGGGCGGGTGTCGGGTTTGTATACTGAGCCACCGGATCGTTGGGTCAAGGTGAATAGATAATAGACCACTTTGGCTTAGAATAAAACGACAATAACATTGAAATGAAAGATTCCCAATATCTCAGTCCTCTCTGTAGGCTATTCCCGGCTAACACTGGGGTGGTCGTGAAACCTTGCTCTCGACCCTTTCTACCCTCGAGGTATTCTTGGCACCCGCGGAAAACGTGGGCGATGCTTTGACTTGCGACTTTCTTTCTGGTGGTTAAGTTCTCGTCGAATTATTCTGCCAGTCTTTCCTCATCGCTTCACTTTCCCTTCTTTGCTCTCTCTCTCTCTTTTTATTTTTCTTTTCTCCTTCCGCCCCCCTTCTTTTGATTTCACCATCTATCTTTTTCTTCTCTTTTGCTTCTTGTCTTCCACCAGACTGGAACTGCAACCACAACGACAACTTTCTCGCGCGGTCTCCGATCTAGCCTAGCCTCAGCGCATCTCCCACCGGGCACCGAATAAGTTGCGCGCTCCGTCCGTGTCGTCATGTCCCCTCATGACTACGCGGACCATCAATCAGAATCTGTCGCAGATGCGGTGACCGCGATGAAGCTGGAGTCCGACGCAGCGCCCGAAAACTCAGCCATGTCAAACGGCGGAGGAGCCATGATCAAGGATGAATCGTCAAACGCGGCCTCCAACGCCTCCCCCGTCCCGACCCCAAAGGCAGAACGATCACGATCTTCTTCTCGAGCCCCGGTGAAGAAGGAAGAGAACTACGAAGACTACGGAAGCAATGTGAAAGGGGCGGAGAACAATCATGGGGACAACGTGGAGGAGAAAGTCGGAGGCGACATAATTGTCAAGCTCGAGCCTGGACAGCCTCCCAAGTTAACACGGAGCTCTTCCCAGAAGGTTGTTCCACGGCCACCGCAGTTGTTTGCCCATCTGCCGGATAGCACAGCTGAGGCTCAAGCGACGTTTGACTTGATGGACGCATGCACGTACGCCAATAAGTACATGGGTTATACTGAACATGCGATGGAATGCGATTGTGCTGAAGAATGGGGTAAGTTTTTACTGAGATATCTCCTGCGCTGTCTATCTACTCAACCTCGCCGTCACTGGCTTCATCGTTTGGCTCCTACGCGTGGTGGCGTTCCTCTAACCCATCTTGAGGGAGGTGGGAACGGCCACTTGGTCTACGCTCCTGCCTTTTTGTTTATTTTCTGTCCCTTCTCTATTTATCTAAACACTCTGTTATTTCACGTTGTTATTTCGATACATCTCCCCCTTTTCTTTGGTTGTTGGTTTTTCATGTCTGTGTTGTTTTGTGTGTCTTCCCCCCACCTACGGACCTAATTAGTTAACCCATGACCAGAACCGTCCGTCTCCAAAAATCTGGCATGCGGTGAGGACTCAGATTGCATTAACCGCGCGACCAAGATCGAATGCATGGGCGATTGTGGATGTGGGCCAGAGTGTCAGAACCAACGATTCCAGCGAAGGGAATATGCTCCGGTGGCGGTGATCAAAACGGAAAAGAAAGGGTTCGGTCTCCGGGCGGAGGCTGACCTGCGACCGCACCAATTTATCTTTGAGTATGTGGGCGAAGTCATCAACGAGGGGCAATTTCGGCGCCGCATGAGACAGTATGACGAAGAGGGAATCAAGCACTTTTATTTCATGTCCCTCAGCAAGGGCGAATTTGTCGATGCGACCAAAAAGGGCAATCTGGGCCGCTTTTGCAACCATTCGTGCAATCCCAATTGTTATGTCGACAAGTGGGTCGTTGGCGAGAAACTTCGCATGGGCATTTTTGCTGAACGACACATTCAAGCTGGGGAGGAACTCGTCTTCAACTACAATGTCGACCGCTATGGGGCAGATCCGCAACCCTGTTACTGCGGCGAGCCTAACTGTACCGGCTTCATCGGAGGTAGAACTCAAACGGAGCGGGCTACAAAGTTGTCGAATGCTACCATCGAGGCTTTGGGTATTGACGATGCAGACGGCTGGGACACCGCTGTTGCGAAGCGGCCACGCAAGAAGAAGACGGGAGAGGACGATGAGGAATATGTGGACAGCGTGCAGCCCAGGTCCCTGGAGGAGAATGGCGTGACCAAGGTCATGGCGGCGCTCATGCAGTGCAAGGAGAAATGGATTGCGGTCAAGCTCCTGGGACGAATTCAGCGCTGTGATGATGAGCGAGTCCGTAATCGGGTGGTGAAAATGCATGGATACCAGATTTTGAACTCCCAGCTGGGCATGTGGAAGGAGGATCACAACGTCGTTTTACAGATTCTCGACATTCTCGACAAGTTTCCTCGTCTGACGCGGAACAAGATCATCGACTCCAAGATTGAGTCTACCATTCAACCATTGACCAGCTGTGGTGATGAGCGTGTGGAGAAGAAGTCAGCCACCTTGCTGCAAGTCTGGTCGACCCTCGAGGTTGGTTATCGCATTCCACGCATGAAGAGAGATCCCAATGCCACGACGCCAGCTGTTAATCAGTTCGGGCGGCGGGAGAACACTCGAGATGAGCGACGACGGTCAAAGTCTCGTTCCCGATCGAGGTCGCGGTCTATAGAAGCCCCTCGCGGGCCAGCTGCTCAAGCGCGAGGCGGACATGGCCAGAGAAATCCTCACCATCATGGTCCCCGACCCTTCCGTCGACAATTTAACCCCCTCCCGCCAGGATGGTTCCAAGCAGAATCAAATGGGAGAACCTACTATTACTCCGCTCGCGGGGATACTACGTGGACACGACCGACAAAGGCCGCTCCTCAACCGCCGCCGGCCCCGAAAGAGTCGAGAGACAAGGCATTGCAGGATATCATCGATGGTATCATGAACGCCAAGGAGAACACACCAAAGGAGAAGAGCGGAACTCCAGCTACACCACAAGCGTCTAGACCAACACCGGATATGAAGGATGGTCAAGAAAAGTGGAGGTCATATAGCGAGGAGAAGCGAAAGAAAATCTATGAGAACACGGTGAGTAGTACAGCGTTTGAGGCATAAATTCGAAAGGCGTGCAAGTACTGACGGTAAATAGCTCTATCCCCATGTCAAGTATGTGGTGGACAAGTTCAAGCACAAACTTCCAAAAGATGACTTGAAACGCTATGCCAAAGATGTGAGATGAAACCTCTCTTGAAGCTTTCACAGAAGAATAGTCGAGCTAACCAATTGCTGTCAACACAGGTGGCTAAGAAACTGGTAAATTCGGATTTCAAAAACAACCGTGTTGGGGACCCTACCAAGATCGATGACAAGCAGCAAAAGAAGGTGAAGAAATTCTGCAAAGAATTCTTCGACAAAGCTGTCGTCAAGCACCGCGCATACGAACAACGGAAAGCAGAGCGACAGTCGAAGGAGCCAAATTCGAGGCCCAATGACGCGGCAGCGGAGGCTGTCGAGGATGACGGTCTGGACGTAAAGATGTCTGACGATGAGGACGATCGGGTTCCAGCACAGGATGAGGAGACGCCTACGACCATGACAGACGAAGTGCAAGGCCTCTTGAAACGTAAGAGAGAAGATGAGCCAAACACCGGTGATGGAAGCACAACCGAGTATACTACTCCGTCTTCGTCCAAGCGACAACGATCCTCCACGCCGCCACCACCACCCCCTCCTCCCATGAGCCCTGGTAACGAGCAAGGCCAAAGTGGCGAAGATGGGAATACGAAGAGCGATGCAGATGAGCCCACTCCTGCGGACAAACAAGATCTTGGTTCTCCTCCGCCTCCTCCGCCACCTCCTCCCTACCCTGAACAGGAGATGGATACCAACAACAATCATTTCATCTCCGAAGATGGCGTGAAGGAGCTAAACCCGACACATATTGGCATCGAGGGACGGGTATAGCATGAGTAACCCCAGCCAGCTAGTAAAACCAAAGCTAGCCAGCTGATATCCCCACCATCCATTCCACCCCAAGGGGGGAGTTCCAGCATCGGGTCTGGTGTTCTAGGAGTTCGACTTGACTTGATATGATATGACTAATTGGCTGCCATTTATTCTTAGCCCTCCTATTATTTGTCCCCCTCTATATTCCCCAATACCTTAGCTTAAGGGGATTTCGTCCGAAGAGCATCTGGTTCGTTTTGAATTGATCTGATCTGATCTGACTCGATTTGGCCGTTTATCTTAATCCTTGTGCCATTCTTCCCCTTATACTATTCTATTTCTACTATATTCTATTCCTTCCCTTCCAGTTGCTCTTTCATTCTCGTCTGGGTTTTCTTTCATTTCTCTTTTCTATATTTGCATTCCTACCCCCTTTTATTATCACTTTTCCTTGTTCAAACATGAATACCCCCAGTTCGTACCCGCGATAGCTATGATGATTGCATACCTCCCGGTCTTAGAGGAGAGAGAGAGAGAAAGGAAAACAACAAGAAGTACTCAATCAACAAGGATCTTTCATTTCTTCTTAGGTTTTGTTGGCGAGAGAGTGAGGGAGAGAGGATAAGTAGGATCATGAAGTGTATTACTAAAAGCACATATCTATATCTATACTTTTTCCACTTCTATATGTACCCATACGCAGTAGTGATCAAGTGTAGTGCATACATGCGTGTACAAATGTATACCATCATCATCATCATCATCATCATCAGTTGATATGATACTAATACTAGCTAATTACGCAACTAGCAGTAGACCATAAATCCAGATTGGCAGTTAGCATTTTCTCTGTAGTACTTACGAAGGTATTAATTTAATTTATTTTTAATGACATGATGCGGAATGGAAGCATATGTGTCTAGTTTGTTGGTTCTCTGCACTATGTATGTATGTTATGTAAATGTTTTATTAGTTCCGTCTACTCTACGAGGATGATGTAAAGGGAGTTTTTTTAAGGAAGAAAAATAGTGTCCAGTCAGTCCACACACACTCACATATACACCCCCAAATATTCTACCCATTCCATTCATTCATAGCACAATAAGGATATTCATGTATGTTCGAGAGAGGCGAAAAAAAAAAAAAAAAGAAAGAAAACGTGGGGGAAAAAAAAGGGAAAAAGGCGTAAAATATGAAAGGAAGAAACTCCTCTAGTAGAAACTCTCCACGATACTCTCCTTGTTGGCATTACCCATGCCAACACCACGGGGACCCATCTCACCCAGACGGAAGACACTTTCAATCACACTCAATTCCGTGGCTGTCGTGTCCAGACCCGTGACAGCGAGCCAGTCGTTCACGACCATACCGGCACCGACGACGGGGCTACCGCGGTTGACACTACCAGCGACGAGGGGCACTTGCAGGAGGGAGGAAAGTTCATCCTGGTCACGGATGGAGGTCTTGGGGTGGACGATACCACCTTGGTTGGAGAGGGCCATGTAGGAACCAGTCAGGACGTTGTCGGCGACAGTTTGACGGAAGACTTCGACACCGAGGACATCGGCGATGCTGTTTAGTTTTAACATGTTAGCATGAGTGTGCAAAAATTGCATGTATGTGTGTGTGTAAGGGGTATCACGGGCATACATTTCTTCGGTTTCCCGCTCGAGATCCGGGTGGATCAGCGCGACATGGTCATTACAGCAGATGACGTTACCCAGAGCCGAAAGACGTTCCTCTATACGTTGAATCTTCACCGAATCGGGTAGCGTATTCCGGAGATGTTGAAGCTCTTGGTCTGTCGTGGTGGTGGGGACAAGGAGACCGTTGCGGTTTCTGATATGGGGCGAAAGATAGTCAGTGGATTTTGATACGGAGATCAAATTTGAGTCCGGGCCTAGACATACCCTGCCGTCAGACGGCCAACAATGCGGGTTCCGGCGATGGTTGCGTGGCAGATGGGAATGACATCTTGCAATTCGGCCTCGAATACACTAAATGGAGCGTTAATGGGACTGGGTTGTGGTTCTGGTAGAAACGGGTATATATATGTGCACCTGTAGAAGTTCTCGGAAGCGCCAATGGCAACAATAGCGTAGGAGTTGGTGAGACGGGAGAAAACACCGACCCTAGAAAACCAAGATGCATTAGTAAAGGGTCCAGAAGCTGCGAGGTCTGGGCCGCATGGTCAAGCAGGCCAGCAGAAAATTCTCCGGGGTGCGTCTCTCACTCGTTGGAGTTCTCGAACTGCGCGCGGACGGCCATAATTCCTTCTGTCGGAGTCGGAGTACTAGTGGTGGGAATAGTGAAGTTTGGATAATTCTAGGTCTTCGCTTCGAGAAAGCGAGGAAGTTGATCGAGTGCCCGTGAAAGAGGGAAAGAGATCGCTGGGAGGAGAGAGGAAGAGATTCGAAGTGGTGAAGGCGGGGTGAGGGCGAGGCAGAGCCTGTCGGGAAGAGGTTCGTGGCGGGGAAAACGGCGAGAAAGGAACACAAAGTGCTAGAACAGGACTTTGCGACTCGCAATTGACGAGAGACGGGACTCGATCAGGCAAAAGATGCAGGCAAATTAAAGAGCACAGCAGGGTCGTGAACCGCAGTGATGGAGGAAAAGCCCGAGGAAATAAAAAGCTTCGAGCGATAGCCCCGCCTATGGCACTAGTCCCCATCGGGGTGGAAGGCGGCGACCGGGCAGAACCAGTCATGAGTCAGCAATCAGCATCAGTCATCATTTCCGCCCGTCGACTCATCACCAGCAAGACATGAGCCATTATGATTCATCCTCCGGTGGGTCTAGATTCCCCAGTAACTACTAGATCCAGCCCCCTTTACATAGTTGCACCGCCGCATAGTACGGTTCCCCACTCCGGGTGAGAAGAGACGTGAGATCAAGAAGGACGAACTCAATAATATAAAAATTAAGAAGAAATCATATTTATGAAGAGAAGATCCTAACCACTCAACGCCTAAGGGGAATCCTCCGTAGCTAAATACATAACCAGTCGCTAGGTAATCGAAAAGAGAAAAGGCCTTACATATCCCAACGAAGAAGTCTACTTCAAAACTCCGGGTGAGAATCCTAGCGCGAAAAGACAAATCAAAGAGAAGCCTGCGCACACACTCATCCCCTTCCCGCTAAAAGGGGGGACGAGGCCCTGGGGGAGGTGGTGGAGGCGGCGGCGGATAATAAAGACTTGGGGGGTGGTGTCCCGTCATAAACCGGGTAGGGGAGGTCGATGAAAGTTGGACCCCGGCGGAGGAGGAAGGTGAGGAGGCCCTCCCATGGAGGCAAAAGGATCAGGCAAGCCGAGCTGTTCGTTGATCGGGGGAATCTGTTGCCCCGCTGGAAGAAGACGACGGGGCTGTTGTCTCTGGGGGGTGGGTGGAGGCAGCACAAATGGTCGAGTTTCGGCAGGGCCGTGGGCCAATGGCGGCTGTGCAGGCTGGGGCAGGAGGGCTCGATGAGTCGAGAGGCGTGGAGCAGCTTGTGACAGGGGAGGGCGCGGAGGCTCCGCCGCAGCAATATCTGCCAGGGCTGACAATGCTCGGGGACGCAAGTCAGGCAGCACCACCGGAGGACTGATCTCTGCCGGCACTGCGTTGCGAGGAACTTCAACAATCCCGGTCGCTTTCACCAACATGTCAAGAATCTGTTCAGCGGTCATGCCGGCAAAGGGGCCTGCGTCCCGGATTTCCTTCATCTGCGGATCGATGTCGTCGCCCACCTTGGCCCGCTGAACGAAGTCGTCCCAGCCAAAGTAAGCACGATCATAAAGGGCTGCCCCAGAAGGATTCCGAACATAGTTGGAGTTGAAGCCTCTCCACACTTCCCTGGCGGGTGGTACCACTCGTCCGCGCTCCGGCTCGGTTTCGGAATCATCAGTCTGCAGTGTTAACGTTAGTAGCCATTCCTGGTTCCGAGCACCGGATTTTATACATACCTCAGTATGCTCATCATCTTCTGCGGCACGGCGACCTTCGACAAAAGTCATATACGCCCCCTGACTGGCCAGCAAGTGCTCTTCTCGAATATTGCGAGCTTGGGCCTGTTGTTCGTTGGTTGTCAGGAGCTCGTCTAATGAAAGGAATAAGCGTCATAACTCACCCGATATCGCTCCTCAATAGCTTGCTTGTTGGCCTCGAATAGCCGGTGCTCCTGCGCCACCTTGAGTTCGTATTCCCGGCGTAAAACCTCCTTCCGTCCATTTAGTCTCTCCTTCAACTGCATATTGACTTCTTCAAACTCTGGCACGTTTTTATGCGCGTTCTTATCGCGGGCCAGTCGCTTCTCAGACTGCGTGGCTAGCACTGCCAGCGCCAGCCGCTGAGCAGCAGCCACTTTCTTGAAGGCCTTATCCAACTCCCGTTGCCTGTCCCGCAGCTTCTGGGTAGCTGCACTTGGGGAAGGAGAGCGGTCAGGCTCCACATCGCTCGAGCGATCCAGTTGTCGACCGGTGCGACCACCACGACCACTGCGTGCGGCGCCTCGTCCTCGTTTGTTCACTGCGAAACGCGCTGAGCCGCGACTCCGTCCACCACGACCGCGGCCTCGAGTCCGTCCACCACGGGTTGGTTTACCGGCCGTCGACTCTGTAGCTACCTCTGGCGTTGATCCTTCAATCTCTTCAGTCACCTGGCGAGAGTCGTAGTCAATTCTCGAGTCAGCCACGGCCTCAGCGGGGGACCGTGATGCCGGATTACCACCGGTGCCATTCTGCAATTGGTGATCTAATGCGTGCTCCAACTCGCCCTCTTCCACTTTAGGGTTCTTACTAGGGGATTCCGAGACCCTCTCGCTCTCAGCCGCACCAGTATCTTTCGGTTGAGATGACGACTTAGGCTTCTCGGATGCCTCTGGACTTGGAGTGGTCGTTGAATTCTGACGATCAGCAGTCTCAGGGGCTGCCGGTTCAGTGACACCACTCTTGTCTTCATCAACAACGGTGCCCTTTGGTGACTCTTCCTTCGTAGAAAGATGAAGGTCTGGCACGATGCTCTGAGGCTCATCTTGCGGTGGCCTGGGTTGCTCAACCGGTACAGGAGTGGTCCTGTCTGGTGAAGGAGACTTGACCGCAGGAGCAGTAGAAGTAGCATTGTGAGTAGTGTCAATGATATTGTCAGCAAATTGCCGGCTTCTATTTCTCGTTCTGGTACTCGGGGCAGCAGTGGTAGAAGGGCTCGGCTCTGAGAATTTCGGGACGATGCCCTGATCGTTAGAACCATCTTCAGCTGATGTTGGATGCACATGGGCCCTGAGTCTCGCCGACTGCCTCGTAGTCCGAGGTGTCTCTTCAACCGTCGGGCCCCGCTTGACGCGCTTGTGCCGAGGGGTTTCTGGAACGGCTGTTACTGGCGTTTCAGGTTGGGCAGTGGCCAACTGGGCGCTTGCGCGAGTCCGAGTATGACGGGTTTCGCGAGCGGTGTTTTCACGGGCTACATTTTCACGCGCTGCAGTCTCACGGAGCGCCGCTTCGCGAGCTGCATTCTCCGCGGCAGTATTGGCTCGAGCAGCACGAGTGCTGAGCGTGATAATACGTGATGGGCGATTGGTGTTGTTTCTTAGATGATTGTTGCTGTTCCCAGCCGTGGCAGCAGTGTTGCTGGGGGCTCTAACATCATGTTGAGAGGCACGTGCATCTCGACTCGAACGTAAACTCCGAGTCACACGAACAGATGAAAAATCATCATTTGTGGAGTCTGGGGAGCCATAAGAATCTGCTGCGATAGCTGGAAGGGGGTAAAAAACTTACTAGTATTGTTCTGGGAAGCCCCAGCGCCAGCGTGACCACCAGAGGATGTAGCTGAGGCTTGGGTAGCTTCAAGTTTACGCTTGACCCCCGCCATTGCTGTCCACTATCTAGTTGAGGATTCGGTTAGAGTTAAGGATGCGTGAACCAGTCGAGCAAATGGGGTGGAGGGGCAATGGAAAGAAACAAGACGAATAACACTGTCAGATATGAGGATCCACTTCTGAGAATCAACGTTTGAGGGGGGAGACAGGAACAGACAACAAGGCTGTTGAGATGCGGTCGTTGATGGAAACACAATGATAAGATGAGGCAAAAATGCAAGATCTTCAGGCAAGCAACACCAAAAGGGCAAGCAGTGAAGTGGGTCACGCGAAATAGATGAGAAAGCAGGAGAGAAAAATGAAAACAAGGAAAAGACGTATGTCAAGCAGGCCCCATTAAGATCAAGTAGGAACTGCAAGAAGATCAGGGAAGGGATGCAGGCATTAACTATCTTGAACGGTGAAAGGCCATGCTAAGCGACATGGGTACGTGTAGTTAAGAAAGAAAATGGGAAAACGGCGAAAGAGCCAGGTGTATGGTACATTGGTTGGAATAAAGTTAAGGATGGGGATATGCTGGGGGGGAAAGAGGACGCATTAGGAAGTACAGGGAAGAAAAGGGCGGAGGATGGCAGCCAGGCAAAAGGCCGAGATGAGACGAGAGGTATGTGACGATGGAAACGTGCCGGGAGGATCGCTTCCCAAGGAAAAAGCTGGGGGTCGCGTGGTTGCGGGAAGGAGAGCAGAAATAGAAAAGTAAAATGGGGGAACAATCGGGCAAGAAATGGGGGGAGATGGGGAGGGAAAAGGATGAGAACATACCTGGAGGGGAGGGAATAAGGAAAAATTCCTCCTCGGGGCGTGGAACAGCAACGTGAAGGTAGGTAGAAGTAGTAGATTGATTGAGTGAATCCCCAGGCGGGAACGCGAGGGTAGTAAGTCGAGATAGTAAGTAGTAGAATGGAGATTGGAGAGGGAATGAAGTAAAAAGAGGTTCGGCCAAGTGGATCAAGTGAGCGAAGCAAGAAAAGCTACCCGCTGTTTGGTTGGTTGGTTGGCGGGCCTGGCAGAGAGAGAGAGAGAGACTGTCAAGAGGGAGTGAGAAAGGAAGAGAGAAGAGAGAACAGAAGAGAGGAGAAGCCAGTACAAGGACGAACTTCGCCGGATGTAGAAGTAGTAAAAAGTAGAAAGTAGTAGTTAAAGGTTGGTTGGTTTAGTGAGGTAGCAACAGCAAGCAGAAACAGCAGCTCCAGCTTGTCGTCGTCGTAGTAGTAGTAGTAGTAGTAGCAGCAGCAGTAGCAATAACTACGGTCTACCAGAACGATCGATCCCCCAGCAATTGATGGAGCTCTCGGGGTGGTTGATCCCAAAAGTTAATCTTCATGCGCGGGCAGAGAAAGTCCGGTGATGTTTTGTAGAGCAGCGAAAGGAAAAGAAAAACCCAGGAAACGAAAAGGGAGGAAAAGACAATAGAAGGAGAAGGGGGGAAAAAAATAACACCACCCCAAATGACACGCAAAAGGGAGTGTTTAAACTAACTATTGCCGTACCTTGGATAGTTGAGAAGTCCGTGGGAAGGAAGGGGACCCAGGTAAAGAGAAAAATTGAGGAAGAAGACGACACCACAACCACCACAACAAGACAAGATTATGGAGAATTTTGAAGCTGATGGGCGATGAATTTGGCTGGGAAGATCAAGTCCAGTCCGTTCAGTCAGTCAGTCAGTCAGTCAGTTCAGTTCAAGCCAGTGTTAGTGTTAGCTGAACTAAAAAAGACCGACGGCGAGGAATTTGACTGGGCCGTTTGGCTGTCCCGGCCGCTTGGAGTGGCGCAAAAGCAGGAGCCAGGGACCGACCACCCCGGCCCACGTTCCCAATATCCGAGTAGAAATTAGAAGATAGAAAGGAGAGATCTATTTATTAAAGCATCGAATAATAATCAGATGAATCTCTAACCCAGCACGACAAAACAATTACACAAAAGTTCATTTATATTTCAAAATGAAAAAAAAAAACAAAAAATTGAAAAAAGGAGATAAACGTGGAAAAGCCGAGCGACTGTCAAAAAAAAGGCTGGATGGAATGAGTCGGAAATACGTCGTAAAGTCGAGCAGGGCCGTGTGGCCGTATAATTCCATCCCAGCCAATTCTGACCAACTAAACCGAGTAAGATCCAGCCACTAAACTCACCGCTAAGGGAATTATCATCGTCGAACACCGGACTACTTACGACTACTTACTCGCTTCTCGACAAATCGCGCTGAAACCGTGCAACAATTCGATGAGATGCTGCCAATGCTCCTTTGAGTGACAATGCTCGAAAGAAAAAAAAAAAAAAAAAGGTGGTTCATCAAGATACACACGTGTTAAGATCCTTGCGTATTAACTTAGTCCGTGGTACCTTATGTACGACTTTCTACTTATTATCTAGGTAGTCTTGTAAATAATATCTTTCTATCTATCTAGTAATCTAGTAGATGATGGATGGATGGGTTTTCCGAAAGTGGGTACCTTCCTGCTTCCTCGTACTTTATAACTAAACTCGAATCTCCATTTCCATTTCCGATTACGGAGTAAGTTAAGTAAGTAAAACTTCTGAAATTCTCTTTCACTTCATGATGCGAGACAGTAGTACAAGTTCTTCAATTCCTCGTCCTAGAGCCAATTTTATTCCCTGTCAATATGCCACCTTCCCTTCCACATATTGCCAAAAATAGACACCAGATCAATCACCATCATCAAGCTCTTCTTCCCCCACCCCCCTTATCCCTCCTTGACTTCGTCACTTCAACCCTTAGGCCTGATATCTCCCGATTAGCTCACCTCTACTCCTTTCACAATACTGGTGTAAGAATGGTGTGTTGAGATGATTCAATACCCGCTTACGTTCTCAGTCAAAAAGTCCTTTCACAGGGCAAGGAAAAATAAGAGTATCAGACAGTCACTCACTTTCTGATTTACCTCGTAATACAAAAACAACCTTCAGGGAAAAAAAGAAGAGAAAAACGTCACAAACCAGAAATCCACCATTTCATGACGAATGTGCGCCTCGTAAGAGTCTGGCCCATGACAGGTGTACATCTGCATGGATATGCACGAAATAAAAAAGGCCGCACTTGATTCAAGTTCACCGTATGATGAATCAGGTTTTTGAGGGAGAGAATCGGGCTCCGTGGGTAGGAATGACGCAGGCATTTATGGTTTTGCTTGGCTTTTTCTTCTGGTGGATATTTTGGAGGTATAATTGATCGTGTTGATTCTTATGCTGTCATTGGATGTTGTGTTTGACTATATAGACATATTAGCTCGATCTTCTTCATGGTCAAGAATAGTGGCTTCTACTATAAAATCCAATTATGATTCGTTCCTATGATGTATTTCGATACCTCAAAAGTTTCAACTTCACCCCCCAGCAGAAAACTAGCACTGACAAGCCACATATAATGTACTTACTGGCTGTCAGCATATCCGCCATTCAGTAGAGAGCCATGATGCATTATATGATCTATACTTATCTAGGAAAGTACTTGCTAACTACATCAAACGCTATGTCCAGGATATCTATCAACATAGGAAAGAAAAAAAAACAATGAACAAAGGAAAGACATGTAAGCCCAAACCTGCAATGCGGTCGCGCCCCTTTTCGGCCCAGCTAGCTCTCATCCGGTGATTCGTTCAAGTCATACTTTTTTTCATACCGTGATATACTGCTCCGCACATCTGCCGCCATGATGAAGCTGGGCATGGGAGATCCTCGACCGCTGGGTTCCGGTGACTCGGTATTCCGTTCCATCCCGTTCAGTGGTTGATCGAACAGCGGCGATCTGCTGCGTGGTGCTTGGGATCGCAGCGAACGAGTGGATCTGACCCGGTTCAAGGCCTGCACGGAAATGGTCTGACCGGCTGCTGGTGAGGCAATCACCGTGGTACCTGGCATTGGGGTCGGGGGCGGCGATGAGCTGTCAGAGCGGAATAACGGATGAATGAAGCTCTCATCGGGGAGTTTCAGCTTAGGAGGGGCAGGTCTAGCGGGAGTCACCAGCTGTGTTGATGAAGTCGCGGGTGATGACCGTGCTGACGAGGGTTGGCGAACCAAGCCATCCAAGGATCGCTTTGTATCGGAATAGCTTCGTCGAATTTTGGGGGGTTCGGGGCGAAGCTTGACCCCAGCTGCTGCACTGCCGGCTTGGTCAACGGGGTGCTCCTCTACTGTGGCCGGTGTGGCTGTGCTGTCTCCATGAGGTACGTATGATCGCTGCAGGTCAAAGGAGCTTTGCTTGGAGTCATGCTGGAATAGTGTGCGTCCAGAATAGCGATTTGAGGCCTGGGACTCTGTATTTGAAACAGACGGTTGGATCGGAGGGACAGTGTCGGAATTAGTCTTCAAATCAGCGGATGGTCGCTGAGACTCGCTGGCCAGAGAGGATGATTGCACGGTGCTTGCGTCTTTCACGCTTGCTTTATCAGAAAGAACCTCAAGCTCTTGGGATACGGATGGCGGCGACCATTTGCTAGTGGATTCCCGTCTCGCCAAGGTTGTCAGGAAATAGCCTCCTAGTATGCCTTGGCTGAGGACCGAAATGGCCCATATGGTGCAGCGAGCCACTAGCAAGGACTGATGCCTTGTGACCGACTTCTTAGCTGACACGGACTGAGCTGCACTCCATGCTATCCCTCCTGCCGTCACGCCAGTGGCCACTGATAAATATGCAGCAATAAGCCCATATGCAATGGCTCGGTGGTTTCTGCACTGCTCTGTAGGCTCAGTTTTTATATCTTTGATCCAGAGGAGCATCAAAGATACAAGCGCAAGACAGCTGACTGCGCCCAAGCTGACAATGGCCGATTCCACCGAAGACACACGAGATGAGAGGGATCTGGAGAAGGTGAAGCACATGCCATCGAGGATAGTAGTAATGAACGTCGATAATAAAGTAGTGCCACCCAGGATCCGGGCCGGGGAGGCCCTGGGCATACTAAGAGACATGGAAAAGGGGGGGTCAGGGCTATACGAAGGAAGATGGATGCTGCGGACTTCGTGGTAAAGACAGTGTCCAACGATCGCCCTTAAGGGACAGGTGCAGATGCCAGGATATTTTCAAGGGTCTTCTCAGATATTCAAATCAAGGGCTCAAAGATGTCGAGTCTAGCAGCACAGCTCAGCCGAAGCGATTGAGGCAGTTGGTACCAAGCCAAGCCGGCCGTCGTAGTTTGGACTGACCGTGACGTCGAGAGCGTTCTGGACTTGAGAAAAAGCCTTGGGAAGTACAGAGGCAATATGATAGCATGGAAGGACAGTGTGATAATGTCTCGATGGAAAAGATCGGGCGGACAAAATCGTGGGCGTGACGAGTTAGCAATGATCAAACGAGGGACAATGGTGGACGAGGGTCGAGCCGGAGTAAATACCCAACAACCCGGAAAGAACGAGAGTCAATCAATTAAGCTAAAGAGGGAAAGACGGGGGGAATGGGTTCCCCGAGGATAATTGAATAAGGACGCATGGATTGTTCGAAGAAAAAGTGCGTATGCATTTACCAGGATTATCATGACAGGGGGGGCGTTGACTACTTCGAACAGCGGTCGAATGGCAATGGCGAATGGACCTGGAGCCGAGCAATCTACGCCTCCAGGGTCTCGATCTCACTAGACTAGCAGGGGCTGCCAGAGAAGCAGATGGGAATCATACCAATCTTAGTGCGGATCGGTAGGCTCGGGGATCGAGGTGCCTTTCTCGACCATTCCCTCGATGCCCTAGCCTTGCCAGCTATTGGGGGAACTGGGCCCCTCTCGATTGCCACGAAAGTGGAAGGGGGTGGTCGTGTCGAGTAGGTAGGGGCACCAGGAAGGAAAACGGAAAAAGAAAACATATTAACCAAGGGTTTCATGATCACTGTCAAGCTGACTCGTATTTATATACGTCAAAGGGAAGCTCATGGTTTGGCGATGACTTCCAACGGCCAGGGATGACATGCCTTTAACATCAGAAACTGTCACCCACGCAGCCTTAATGAACCTACATGCTTAATCTTCGTATGATTATCCCCCAGTACGATGCAAAGACAAAAACTCTGAGCTTGAACCTCAAGTTCACCACCAAAGGGGAGTGACGAATTAATCGCCAACGCTGCACGGCATACCTCAGAGGTATCCTCATCATATGGAACAGGTCTAGAAGAGAATTTGTCAGATCAGGCTGGCTTTGCTGTACGCAGCGGCCGGGAGGATCTCCAGAGGTCCGGGAAAGCCTTAATTGGGAGATCGTCTGTTTGGATTCCTGGATGGGACTTGGGGAGCGCCCAAGTCCTGCAAAGCAGAGCTGTGATCTATCACTCCGTTCCCGGGAGGGGCCGCTATAGTTACTTGTGAAGGAAGAGAAGCGGGGAGGCAGCTGCTCCCCCTAAACAATGGTTTGGGAGGGGAGGTAATAGAGATTAAGATCATCATGTAACGATGCTGGCTGGAAGAGCAAACAATCAGTACAGTAGAGATGGAATTATATGGAGACTTAATCGATCTCTGCAGTACATGGGGTGAGAATTTCCCCCCAAAGGCGGCAAGCTAATTGTGGAATCCTGATGGCTTCGTGTTGGTAAGAGTACTAGTTCTCTCCACCGCATCATCCACTCCATGTGATACATCTATACGACAGGTCGATAGGGCCATACCCCTTGCCACGGGTGGCACGGCATCCAAAGTACCCAAGCACTGCAACTCCGTATAGGTTACAGAATTATTGTATATGGTTTCATCATATCAGGGAAGAAGAGAAAGCGGCGCAGAACGAGAAGAGTTAACTGGGCGCATCATCGCTTTGTGGAGCGGGTAGGAAAAGGAAGACTGTCGCGTACTAAGTAATAGGTAGTAATAGTAATCGGATGATACTTTTCCGTATTGTAGAGTCATAGTATTGAATATGTAAAGTGGATGGTAACAATTAAATACTAGTAGTAAGTACTAGTATTTCTGTGGTCAATTCTTGATTCAGGACTGGTGGTCGGCATTGAACGAAGATATATTTCCATCGATAACTTCCCGAATGGCAATAGTAGCAACAGCAATTGCCTGATTCAAGGTACCAAACTAGTACTTAGTACTTTCAATACACCCTATTTCATGGAACTGGCTGCCTACAATATTCTGGGGAGCATTTCGAGCGAATAGTGATATTTTCGGAGCATTGATTTAGCCTCCAATTATGGCCATCACATTGAAAGTTAAGTAGATAGATAGATAGATAGATAGACATAGTATAAGTTACTACTCTTTTCCTCTGGGAAAAGAGTGGCTGAGTAGTACCTTCCCAAACAAAACAAAACCAAACTAGCGAGGGGTTTTGTGTGGCTGAGTGGCTGGGGAAGGAAAGACCGTGAGTGACCGCCTCCCGCCAGCTCCTTCTCTCGCTCCGGCGTCATGATTGTCATCATCAATCATCGCTTGCTGCTCTTCCGGTTTATTTCCAAACCGTTGATTGTTTCCCCCCTCTTTCCCTCCCCCTCATCAAACTACATCAACAGGTGCTGTTAGCTACCCCGTATATCCCTTCTTCTACATCTCCCTGCTCCTCAGAATACCACCCCACCGAGCCATCTCTCTTCCATCCGGTGGCGCAAGATGAAGCTCACGTTCAAGGTACGCGTGATTTCTACCCCACCCCCTCTGCTTGTCCTCGAGTCTGACATGTTCGTTCTTCTTCCTCTAGGACCTGAAACAACAAAAGTTTGTAATCGATGCAGAGCCCTCGGAGACGGTAGGCGGTTCCCTTCCTCTCAGCGTCGTGACTTTGCCGGCGTCAGTGCGGGGCTAAATGAATTATCCGACAGGTCGGGCAAGTGAAGGAAAAGATCTCCAAGGAGAAGGAATGGGAGGTTCCTCAGCTTAAGCTCATCTACTCTGGTAAGTAAAGTATCTTTTGCATTTTACAGTTGTTGCACCTTTCTCGATAGCCTCTGCCACTATGTTAGGCCGTCATTTCAGCGCTGACCGTTCTTCGCTCCAACAGGAAAGATCCTTCAAGATGACAAGACGATCGAGTCATACAACATCGAGGAGAAGGGGTTCATAGTGTGCATGGTCTCTAAGGTACGTAGACCTGAGGCTAAGGATACATGCCTTTTGGATGAAGGTCTAATTTCTCGTGTGTAGCCCAAGGCTACTTCCTCCGGCACCTCGTCACAAGCGCCCTCCACCCCATCCAGAGCAGTCACCTCTACCCCTGCTGCGCCTCCCGCCCCAGCCCCATCTGCCGCTTCCACTACACCGGCTGTTCCTTCGACTCCCTCCCCGGCCGCCGCGGGGGCCTCCCAGGCACAGGGCTCCGCATTCAATGACCCCTCCGCATTGCTGAGTGGCACTCAGAGTGAAGCTGTCGTGGCTCAGATGGAGGCAATGGGTTTCGCTCGGAGTGATGTTAACCGTGCAATGAGGGCTGCTTTCTTCAACCCCGACCGTGCTATTGAATACCTTTTGAATGTGAGTTCATGGCGCTGGCATCCGGCCATAGGTTGCCCGATTTTGCGCTGACTTTAAGCAGGGTATCCCCGAGAACATTCAACAGGAACAGCAACAGCAAGCCGCTGCCGCTAGCGCACCCCAGACTGCTGCTCCCGAAAGCGCTCCGTCCGCTGGTGACGACGAACCGGTCAACTTGTTCGAGGCTGCCGCTCAGGCTGGTGGCCAGGAGGGAGGAGCTCGAGGAGCTCGAGGTGCTGGTGGCGCTGAACTCCCGAGTCTCGAATTTCTTCGCAATAACCCCCATTTCCAGCAGCTTCGTCAGTTGGTCCAACAACAACCACAAATGCTCGAGCCCATCCTCCAACAAGTCGCCGCTGGAAACCCCCAAATCGCGCAGCTCATTGGTCAGAATGAGGAGCAATTCCTGCAGCTCCTGAGTGAGGAACCTGATGATGACGAGGCGCTGCCCCCTGGCACGACTCAAATTCACGTCACGGAAGAAGAGAGAGATGCCATTGAACGCGTGCGTATACCATAATTCCATCATCCTTTGTGGAAACGTAGCTGACATGTTTTTGCTAGCTCTGCCGGCTTGGATTCTCTCGGGACTTGGTCATTCAAGCTTATTTCGCTTGCGACAAGAACGAAGAGCTCGCAGCTAACTATTTGTTTGAAAACCCTGATGATCCCGAGGATATGTGATTCAAGCACGGCCCGTGTATTCCCATGTGTTTGAGATACTGCTCACTGCTTCGAATCATGTTCTCTTTTCCTAATTAACGTCGATATGTACCCACTTTTCTCCTCTTCCCCTTCGCCTCAAGATCTTATGAGAGTCGACGATTACGTAGATCAGAAAATGGCTTCAACCTCTGCCTCTGGCTTGCGAACCCCAGGCCAGGCTGGAGCGTGTCTTTTATTGTCGGATCCACCCCCCGATAGTACTTATTCTTCACACGCTCGTTTTAACACTGGACGACATATTAGTAGGCCAGTGTCCCTGATGGACGGAAGATGCTTCCATTTTCGCGATATTCCCATGTTTCTTCTCTATTTTCACTTCTATCATTCTATCTCCTTCTCCAACTCCTCAATATGACCTTCCAGTCATGTATCTAGTTCATGGAAACGAAAACAAGGCGTTGCGCCCCCTTCCCTCCCTCCCTCTTGCCTCAGTCATTCTACCAACCCCCAAATCTATCTATTTACATCAAGGAATTATCTATTGATTCGGAGTTGCTAAAAGTCAAGACTCCTGATTTGTTGTTTTATGCAGTACAAACTACGAGCAGTACTACTTGTAGCTAGAGGTGTAGAGGCAGATAGGAAGGTAGGAAGTAAGGGGAGTTCAGGATCCCGAACGCATGACCGACCGACATGACTGTCTGTTTGTCCCGATCTGCGCTTGATCGGATGACATGATACATACTACTAGTAGTAGGTTGGCACGGATGACTGGGTGCCAGCATGCGGGATCACTATCCTGGAATGTTGTGCTATCATGTTCTGTCGGTTACTACTAATTAGTTAAATAGTTGATCTAGGAGGTTTATGTTAGTAGTACGTAGGCTTGGTTGGGTAATACTAGGTATTTATGTGATGTTATATATAATGGTCTTAAGTTTCTCGGAGTTAGTATATATCTTTACGAACTAAAAAGAGGTTCTGACATGATTATGATTAGTAGTGGGGTATATTCTATTGTCGTGATGATGAGAAAATATGTGGGTATGTAGGAATGGGTATAGGAAGGGTAGGATGTTGGGTACATGCACGCAGTAATAGGGTGCTACTAAGCGTGTAGAACCTGTACCGATTGACTAGTAGTAGAGAGATTTTCGCTGAGAGGATGAGAACGGAAAATGGTTCATGTGGTTGGTGGGGTATATAATGGGATATAGTAGCATGGGTATGTAGTATAATCTGCTGGTGATAGGTAGGCAGGTAGGATGTGTGGTATGAGAAGGGGCTAATCAAAACGGGCGTGTAAATGGCAAGAAGAAGGGATAAAAAACAATAACCAAGAAAAGAAGAGGAAAGAAGATGTGTAGGTTGTCTCCGTCGAAAGCGGGATCTAAGTCGTTTCCCGCTGCCAGCTGACCGAGTGAGCTTCAACGTCATCTGATATTTCAAAGCGTAATCTGTCAAACACAACCACTTCTTCGTGCGGCCCAGACGGACAATCCGCGTCTGCCGATCACTCGGCTCAAGGTAGGGAAAATGCCATCAGTGCCAAAGTCCAGGTCATCCAAATTGAGATGCTTGCGCCAAGTCCACAGCTCGTGCAGTGTGAGACCTGAATTGTCGGGCGAGGGATGTGTATACCGGTCGAGGAAAGTAGCGGATTTAGGTGCGACCACAAAGACCGAGCGTTCGGGATGATCCACGCTGTTGCTTGCGTCGGGGTTTGGGCATTGTGGCACCAATTTCTCGAGCTCGTTGGCCATTTCTGGTCCGGAGATACCCATCAAGTCCCGCGTTTCGATGTCCAGCTGGGTGCTGGTGCTCTCTCCCAACAACCACAATGGAGGGGAATAGGTCTTCCACCAGAGTATCGTAGCCGATTTCTGGGCATTGTCGATGGCACCAGCCTCGAAGAAGCTATCGGAGACGATTGAGGGGATCGCAAGCTGAGTAGGGACTACGCCACCCTGATGGTACACTCCCATGAGGAACCCTAGAGCGGCATTAAAAATCACCCAAGCGGCCAAGAAAAGACGCGATTTGCGCACGCGGAGGCAACTAAGGAGGAGCGGGACGCATGGAAGCAGGAACCGGGGTTCCTGGTGCGGAAACAAGGAAAGCATAGCGGTTGCTGAGATGGCAGAGACGGCGCGTATGTTTTTTAGCGAAGACTGAATTGCTTTCGACTTGCTGAAAGAAAGTACTATCGCCACATACGCTGGCCCCAGGAGTTGCGGCAGATTGACTAGAAAGTGATGGTACCGAGGGTGAAGGCCATGGAGAGCTAGGTTGGACTTGTCGCTATTGTAGAGCAGATTATTGAGGGGCGTGATGATAGGTGTGTGAACAGCGTCCCAAAGCGAGGCAGAAGGGTTGTAGAATGTTGTATCGACAAGGACAGCGATGTAGAAGAAGAATAAACCGAACCCAGCAAATGAAAGCAAGGAGAAAGGCCTAAAAATGTTAGGCTTGGTGGAAAGAGAGGGTCCAAGGCTGCGCAATACGTACTTGCGCCAGAAATGAGGCAGTAACCGCAGTCCTGGGACGAGGAGGAAGGCCGGAAAAGTGATGCGGTTGAAAACACCCACGACGGCGATGAGAGATAGCACGGCGCATGCGAAGATGGACGAGCGTCGCTATAAGCAGTGATTAGCCAGGAGCTAGCATCATATGAATTCCGCACTAATAAACCTACCTTGTTATCAACAATGCGCTGAATCAAGACTAAGCCCCAGGCGACCAACAGGGTCTCGACGGAGTTGGAGAAGGTGTGCGTCTGATATGTCCAGGTGACATACGAGGATGCGACTAGGACCACCGTCGCGCGGCGATGGCGCGGTAGAGGAACCAGCTCATAGACGGCCCAATCCTCGAGCACAAAGCTCAAGAGAAACATGACCCCTCGTAACACATAGTAAACCAGCTCTGGCGGAGGGTTTAGTGTCCCGCTTTCTGTATAGAATCCCTTCAGCAGGTTCATCGGTACGTCGTAGGTCGGCCATAGTGGGAAGACGCTGCGTATCGGCTTATCGGAGGTGAATTCCCAGGGTAAGCGGGAAGGATAGGAGAAGATGCGACCTAGGGAAACATTTGTGAGCAATGCGCATTCAGTTCCCACGTAGATTTGGGGTTTGCGGTGGAGAGGACAAGGCTGCTTCGATGCGCGGGATGCGTCGGAAGAGCGCCATCTCCAGTCACAAGCGGTCGCACCGCCGGAGAATAAAAAGATCAAGATCGCAACGGAGATAGAAAATAATCTGTGCGACTCAGCGGAATTGACTCACCTGCAAAGACTTCAGGGCCTTGGAAATTCTCATCCGGGTGTAAATAACTTGGAGACAGTGCGAAGTACACCCGGATCACCAGCAGCAGCAGGTACGTTCGTCTCCACATGGCTTGGGATTGGGGGGGTGGATTGAAGCACGGAGAATCTCAAGGCAACAAGGAACCAGTCTGATTTTGGGGGATACTGTACATGCCGGTTGCCTAGTACTAGTAGCCGTCCTGCATCCGAGAAGATTTATGGAGATGAACGTGGAAAGAGAAATCAAGGAATGACTTGTTGGGACATGAAGGGCGGGCTATCCAGAATCAGGAAAAGGGAAAAACAATAGATGCAAAAGCAACTATAGAGCGATAGAGAAAGAGGGAGGGAAAAGACAGGAGAAAAGAAAAGAAAAGAAGGTCAAAAAGTAAGATTCCAGGAGAAACAAAGCGCACTGGAGATAAATGTTTATCCCCGAGAAGTTGAAGCGTTAGACTCCGAGTGGATGGGAAAAGGTACGTAGTTGTCGTGTTCGTGGGGTGATATCACTTCTTTCTGCCAGGAACTATTGGCTTTTGGGGTGAAATTACTCCGTTGATAGTTCAGTCCTGGTTTGTGCTGGTGGGTCAGACAGCCCATCGAGGATCCTCAGGAACGGATCTATCGGCAATGTTTGACATCCAAGCATTGAGGCAGATGGGAATTCTCCAACTTGGCAACAACTGGAGACCTTTCCCTTCCACTTCTGCATCCGTGCACCCCCAGAGTTAGTGCGACCGATCGATGGAATGTTGAATGCTGATGGTGTGTGTTGTTGATGCATCGGTCGGGATTTCCTCCATTGGGAAACACTAGATTCTAGATGATTTCCAGAGGATGAACAGTGTTTGATCAGCTTCTGCGAGATATCTAGGGGATACCCTTGCTATTGTATATCTTGACCAAAGAAACTACCAATTGCTTGTTGGACCTTGGTGGAAGGTACTATACAGATGGCGTATAGTTTATAGTCTTCGATCAACTTCATTCGCATCAAAGAATACAATAGATCAACTAAGCAACAATGGGCATAAGGTTTTAGATAAGGTCAATGAGAATTAGATCAATAGGCAATATCCTTATTATGACAAAGTACTGTGTAATAGTATTCACTCTGCTGATTCATTTGCTTGTCTAGTGAGTAAGTAAGTAAAGTAAGTAAGGAAAGGAAATCGAAAGAAGAAAGAAAGAACCATCCATTCAGGCAGCACCAGGCCACAACCGCCCGGGTGGAGTCAGCAGCAGCGAATGACGGAGGAGATTGCCGGACCCTCGTCAGCCTCAACGCCGGGCCATTCATCGCTCTTGGCTTTCATCGGTCTCGGAACTCTCCCAAGCAACCTCCTTCCCTTTCAACCCCCAGATTTGAACCTTTGTATCTCTTTCTCATCCACCTCACTTTCCCACCGCTGGTTGGGATATTTATATTCCTCTATATCTCTGCTTGTTCACCCATTACCATTGTTCGCAACCAACTCACTTGAACTCATTCACATTCCGCTGTCACGGCTAGATTTGCAAAGTAAGCAAACGTCTTCCCCCACCCAGGTACCCCTCATATCTTTAACGTCGTCGCTGGCCTTTGACCCAACAACAACACAACTCACTCCAGTGCTGAGAGCTGACATCTTCACCCAAAGAACTCGAATCTTTTAGACACTTCCTAATACACCTCAACAAAATGGCCGACACACCTGCTCCTTACTCCGGTCCCATGTTGACCTTCATCAGTGGCGACGGCGTGCACATTGAGTGTGGTAAGTGCACGCGGTGGTTCGAGCTCGGCAGACGCGCTTGGAGTCTGTGTTACGGTTAAAGCAGATATGCTAACATTTGTGGAAATACAGAACGTGATGTTGCCGAGCGCTCCCTCCTCATCAAGAACATGCTGGAAGATCTGGGTGGCGCCAACGAGGAGATTCCGATCCCTAATGTGAGTTGTCCGTGAAAGTAAAAGGACCATTGGTGGCCATAGCTAACCACGACCGAAACATAGGTCAACGAAGCTGTTCTGAAGAAGGTCATCGAATGGTGCAGACACCACAAGAACGACCCCCCCAGCACTGGCGAGGAGGATGACTCCCGCCGCAAGACCACCGACATCGACGAGTGGGATCAGAAGTTTACCCAGGTTGACCAGGAGATGTTGTTCGAGATCATTCTGGTACGTGTTACGAACTACTTTCTAGGAAAGCCCACCTGCTAACTTGGCGCTCAACTCGACAGGCCGCAAACTACCTCGACATTAAGGGTCTTCTGGATGTCGGATGCAAGACTGTCGCAAACATGATCAAGGGCAAGTCTCCGGAAGAGATCCGCAAGACCTTCAACATCCAGAACGACTTCACCCCCGAGGAGGAGGATCAGATCCGCCGTGAGAACGAGTGGGCCGAGGAGTAAGTCTTTTACAGAAACCCAACACCCGCTATTTTACCATCTGAGCGTATGCTAACATTATACTCGCCATAGCCGCTAAATCTGCGTTAATCCATGACATCAGTATGCTGACTCCGACGGCTTGTTGATTGCAAGCAAGCCGAGGAAGATGAGCTATCATGATGTTTTAATTCGGGTCTCGTTGGGTCTCAGGTTGCAGTTCATGGAGTTACTAGTCTTTTACTTTTTCACTCAATTCTCTCAACGCCAGCGGTTTGCTTTCTCAATCTCTCTTTTCCCTTTGGCCCTTGCCATTCGTTCGTTATGAGCAGGGGATAGATGTAGCTCTAAAGTAGTACATGGTTAACTAACACTTTTAACGCCATTGCGCATATTGTTGCCATAATATAACCTTGTTCCACGTGCAGGGCAAGTAGAAACTGTAATTATCTTCTCCCGCTAGTAATAGCTCTGATAATTGTACTAGTCGTTGATATCCAGTAGGCAAGACTGGTTACTACTACTGTAATGTCTATAGACATACAGCCTACAAGGGCAGGATCTAGACCCCGAATCCACGCAACGCGGAAAGACTACAACAACACAAACCATATCATATACAGACATAGGAAAAAGATCTTCGTTCAAAACTGCTCATTAACCCATCATGAATTTTCGATTTTTTGTCGTTCCTTTCAGCTCGTGTACACACATCTTGCAGAAGCACCACTGCACCACCACAAGACCAGTTGAGAAACCCCTCCATCAAAAGAGAAGAAAAAAAAGCAAGCATTATCTCTCCCTCCCCGCTTATGCACTCTTCCTTCCCCTCGCGCTTCAAATAACTTGTCGGGTTTTAGAGCGGGAGAAAGAGCAAAGGAAAACAATAGAGATTGAGAATCAAACGGGCATCTCAAAAAGCGGGTTTTGATTTCAGGCAACATAATCTATAATGATGCAAGTGGATTTTTTGTTTCTTTTTATTTTTTGTATCATCGCGAGCAGTAGCGGCACACAAGAGTTGTTGTTGTCATTGTTGGCAGCGGTATCACAGCAACTGAACGAAACATTTTCCCCCGGGAAAGTAGCAGCAGGTGGACAGAGACATTTCTCGGGGCGGAATCGAAAAAGTCGGTTGGTGTGGAAGGTTCCTCCAATGGACGAATTTAGACTCCGAGACGGGACTTGCGCCAGTGCCTACGCTTGGCGTTGTATCTGGGTTAGGAAGAGACATGTTAGTATTCGGTGTTTTTTTTGGGTTCATGATAGGATTGTGGGTGAGGATGTAGAATGTGGGGTGTGCTGTGTCCTTTGATGTTGTTCCCAGCGGTCGACTAGTTGATTTGGGGGGTTTTGGTGTGTGCTGGCGAATCATCTGGGGCTGCGTCTTGAATATTCCTTCTCTTTGTTTATTCGTTCGCTGATATCACTCCATTTTCCTTCTCATGCTCTTTGTACTTCTTCGCTGGGACTCATCGAGGACTTCGCGGGGTGTGTTGTATGGGTTGCGTGCAAATTGGGAACAGGTGACGGTTTCTTATTTACCTGATGGTGTTACCGGTCCTGAGACGAATCCACTGGGGGATAGGACGGTTCTGTCTCTGAGCTTTGGCAAGCTTCTGCTTGGTGCGGAAACTCTTGTGGCTCTATAGTGAAAGAAGAGAGTTGATCGTTAGCCTGCTGTTCAACTTCATCATCCCGACCACTTTTCCTTAGTCCGTGTAGCCGTATTCATATTTTTTATTTCCAGCACAAAATGGAATGGTTCACGGTCGTTCGAATGACAGGGAGGGCTGCTAACCGGCATCTTGAAGACTTGTCGCGACGGCGAGCTGAGTGTATGGACTGGCGATGATGAGGTTGTCGACCGTCTGTCAAGCCGTTCAGTAGTGGTAGTTTTTTTGTGCGGGCAGGGCTTAGCGTTTCGCTTCCGTGGGGTCATGTGATTTCTGCCTAAGGCGGAAGGTACCCCATCATTTTGGTTTCTTGGTGGTTCTAGTCGGGGAAATTTGATTTGAACGGGGATAAGATGCTTGTATTTTGCATCTCTCTTAGGGATTATGATAGATCTAATGTGCTATGCTGAGCTGGCAAAGTCTGCAATGTCTATAGTATTTGAGCAGTACTTATCGTGGTATTGTCCCTGAGTGACTGAAACCCCAAACGGGAAGTTACAAGTCACGTGTTATATCGCCCAGTGGCTACAACATATTAAGAGCTCCAGTAAAGATCATTCTCGTGGCAGCCAGAAGACTGATATTAAGGTGTTCGCCGGTTGAGACGTGCTTTGGGAAATCACAAATACTCTTGAGGGCAATGGCGCGTGTGTTTGCCGCTCGAGTAACAATGCAACACCCCCGCCAATTGGACAGTCAGTAGACATGAAGAGCACCAAACCAGCCGTTTAGAGTCTTCAGGCTACCGGAGATGCGCTTGTGCCCAGTTACATCCTCTGTACGGAGTACTCGCAGAATAATACATTATTGCATTGCAGACAGGCCGCTTGGATGGCGAGACAGCGCGGGACCATGGGAGTCCATTACATTGATGAGGTGTGGAAGTTGCGTCACGAGCTCAGTTCACGAGCCTGAACCATACTGTAGAAAACAAGATTTGACAACTGGGAGTATCATTGACAGATCGGATGTCATACCGATATTCTCCGGTTATTTTCAAGCCACAAACTTTGTAGATGGGAAGCCTATGCCTGAGCGATTCGACGCATCATAGACAACGGTTGACTTATTAATCAAGGCGCCATGTTTGCTTGCTTACATCGGCATCGGCCGCCCATCCTCCCGTCGACCAGTCAATTAATTGAGCTTATCAACATTATATACGAATGCATGGGATTCGTTCGGAGAGCCCATGTTCCGGCCTAGCGTAGACGGTATCTACCGCACACTATAGCGTGCATGGCCCTGTATTTGAACTTGGCGGGGGTTAGCAAGTCCCGAGTCGCTTCAGGGATCCAAAAGGCTCGGAATGTTCAATGTACAGTTGAGCAGTTGCTGGGGTAGCTAGGTGTCAGGGCGTTACCACAAAGTAACTTTCTCTATTCGGGCCAGAACGAGCCTGTCAGGTTATTGATCAGATAGCAAACAGAGATAAGTAGGTGCTATATCACCTAGTATGACCGATATTGGGAATCCAACGTGATGTTCTAAATTACACTGTGGATTTAACATTCCAAACGATAAACCACAAGCGGTGAATACAACTGATAACTCCGTACAGAGTACAGCTGCAGGTTTCATTAAAATCATGTCGGGGACCCAAACAGGTCAATTCTCGTAAGCCGAACACGAAGCTAGACATAGTGGGAGATGAGTCAAAAGTAGACGTGGTAGCGAAGACACTATCAGCATGTAGCAGACTAGCAGTGGATATGTCCATGGTAACGGGCTATTCAAGGATTACAGATGGACCAATGGAAGAAGGCACAAAGGATCAGGGCCGGTTAGTTTGCGGTATCGATATGCCTAATCAGGCATCGACTGCGATCGGTAAGATATATCTAGCGGGCGGCGGTGCTCGGAGACCCCGACTCGCCGACTTCTATGCAGAATACAACAAAGATCCTTTCAACAACCTTTGTCTCAGGCACACACGAGCCAAACCAAAACTGCTAATTAGGCTGCCACTTCGATGACATACACGCAAACTCGCTATTTCTTTGCCCACATGGCCCTTTTTTCGGTGGAACCTGAACACATCACTAAAATGGACAACATCGCAGGATGATGAAGAATACGTATCTAGTCGATGCTTGCTGTTGGCGAAAGTAAACAAAGGCATCTGGTGCGGCATGTTTTGATGTTGATCACATATTCATTGGAGTCTTGGAATGCAACAGGAAAAGGTACCCGCCCCTGAATTCCTTATGTCAAGTGTCCATCCATTTTCAATGTGGATGGAGTAAAGTTCAATAAATTGGGGCCTCTCAAGTCTCAGATTCCACTAGCTTAACTGTCGAAGCATGAATGGCAGCCCCAGCCTGCGTAGTTGTAGCTCAGCATCTATCTAACTTGTGCCCGAGCAGGGTATAGATAGCCATACAAGGAACGGAGTAGACTACTTTGCCTTCACTTCGGTACCCAGAAAAGCCCATGCGGGTCTTCGGTAAATTAAGGCTAATCCTCTCCCTACTCTCAGTTCGAGTTTTTTTTTTTTTTTTAAGGCGGAGTTGTGTCGGACCCCGCCAATTACTACTACTAGTAGTAAGTAACTACTGTACTCCGTAGACTAGAACCCTTCAGCCATACACAGCTGGCGTCGTATTCGTATTACGATTGGTAGGGCTCTTGTCTCTTCCTTTAGCAGGGAAGATGGAGGAGGTTACGCGCTGTGGTTCTAGAACCAGATCCGAAGCATCATCACCATCATCCATTGAAGGTTCACTTTTGGAGTGTGACTGTTGTGACTCATAAGTTTCGCCCCTAAATAACCGAATCAATTATCATAACTCCCGGTTTACTAAGGTACTTGCTATCCTGGGAGAATCGGTAGCCCATGCAATGAGGTAACAATTATTGTTGGTGTTCTTGAAAATTCGAGCGAGGGCCGGTTCATAGTGTGCTGATGGTAGGTAAGATCTTCGTAGTTTATGTACGAGATCGTATATATGGGTGGACTTATCGTTTGTTATTATTGACCTGCAGTGTAACAGAGCACTGCAAATTGTACCAATTAGACATCTGATAACCTTCCTTCTGCAGAGACTTTTTGAGATTATTGTGAAGTATTGCAGCAGTCTTTCGTTAACTGCGACAACCAAACAACGACTTATTATCATCTACCAGAAGAAGATATTATTAATAGGTTAATAGATACTGTAAATAGTAAATACCACCGTCTACCGCATCTGGACAAGCTTCAGCATAAAATTCCGGGAATATCAGCAGGTGGAGGTCCGGTGACTAGTGGGGGAGATGCATAAAATGGCCCTCGGGAAGTCGGGGCTCCGACCGAGCAAATGGAACTAAACGCGACGGCCACTAGAAAAGTAATCCACCATTCAATCAAGCAAAAGAAGATTGGAAGGCAAAGATGGGGACTTGTCGCTGACGCAGATACCTTTTTTGTCTCTAGTTAAGTTGAAAGGCCAGCTTAGGTTCCAGAATCAACTCTGATGCCTATTCTTCTTTAATTATGATTAATATTAGAGCCTCTTCCCCTTTTTTCCCACATTTTTAATTCCCATCTTGCCCTGGGTCCCTTTCAATCCAGTCTGACTTACACTCCACCACATAAGTTGTAGTTGATCATTCCATCCCTATCTGCCACGCGTGTGGAGGAATATCTCACAACAGGGCACCAGCCATCCTATCTCTCTTCTAACACCCCTCCCCTCCCCCTCCCTGCTCCCATCCCTGCGCGTCCTTCTCTCCCTCGCGTCTGTTATTTCGGGGGCAATCGGCCAGCTCCTGCTACAAGCAACTTCAACTTTCCCCATCAGCTGTCCCACCTCATGGAGTAGAGCGACCTCTTGTCCTCGTCTTTCACCCTCCTCCATATATACTAGAGAGTGAGGCTTTCGTTTCGACACCTCGAACGGAATGTCTCACCCAGAGAATGAGCACGTCTCGGCGGAGACATCCCCGAACGACGTTGAATTGACAGCAATGGACGGAGCAAGACCGTCCTCAGCAGAGCAGCGCAAGTCAAGCGGCCAGTCATCAATCACCAGTACGACAATGGTTCCTACAGGAGAAAAGGGCCCAGCGTCTCAGCCATCTACTGGCAACCAGCTAGCCCGAGCAGATGATTCAGATGCGCTGTATGCCCATCTTCCCGAGCACGAGAAACAGATCTTGAAGATGCAGTTGGACGCAGATGATGTGAATGTCTCCTTCTTTGGTCTGTTTCGCTATGCTTCCCGAATGGATCTTGCGATTATGTTCGTGAGCGCAATTTGTGCCATTGTCGCAGGCGCTGCGCTGCCTCTTTTTACAGTGAGTGCCTATCTATGACGCCAGTTATTAGCAACTGGGCTTATGGACTGACTTCGACCTAGATCCTCTTCGGTTCCCTGGCCTCAGATTTCCGAGGCATAGCCTTGTCTGAAATGTCGTACCACGACTTCTACCACCAGTTAACGAAAAATGTTCTATATTTCGTTTATCTCGGCATCGCAGAGTTCGTCACTGTATACATTTCCACTGTCGGCTTCATCTACACTGGTGAACATGTCACTCAAAAGATTCGCGAACACTACCTTGAGTCGATCTTGAGACAAAACATGGGTTACTTCGATAAGCTGGGTGCCGGTGAAGTGACTACGCGCATTACGGCCGACACGAACCTCATCCAAGACGGTGTCTCGGAAAAGGTTGGACTGACATTGACCGCCATCGCCACGTTTGTCACTGCCTTTATTGTCGCTTATATCAAATACTGGAAGCTGGCCCTGATTTGCACATCAACCATTGTGGCGTTGGTTTTGCTTATGGGAGGTGGATCTCGGTTTATTGTCAAGAACAGCAAGCAGGCTCTGCAGAGCGCCGGTGCCGGTGGTACAGTAGCGGAGGAAGTTATCAGCTCCATCCGCAATGCAACTGCTTTCGGAACTCAGGACAAGCTCGCAAAGCAATATGAAACTCATTTGGCTGAAGCTGAGAAGTGGGGTATCAAGACCCAAGTGACCCTTGGTTTCATGATTGGTGGCATGTTTGGTATTATGTTCTCCAACTATGGCCTTGGCTTCTGGATGGGTTCCCGCTTCCTCACAGACGGTGAGGTCAATGTTGGCCAGGTCCTGACTGTGTTGATGGCTATCCTGATCGGTTCGTTCAGTCTGGGTAACGTCAGCCCTAACGCTCAGGCATTTACCAACGCTGTCGCCGCCGCTGTCAAGATCTACGGTACAATTGACCGCCCCTCGCCCCTGGATCCTTATTCCGAAGAAGGTGAGAAGCTTGAGCATTTCGAGGGCAACATTGAGTTCCGTGACATCAAGCACATCTACCCTTCGCGACCAGAAGTCACTGTCATGGATGGTGTTTCTCTTAGCATGCCTGCCGGAAAGACGACTGCCTTGGTGGGCCCGTCCGGCTCTGGAAAGAGTACTGTTGTCGGACTCGTTGAGCGCTTCTATTTCCCCGTCGGGGGCTCTGTTCTGTTGGACGGCCATGATATCTCGACTCTCAACCTTCGTTGGTTGCGTCAGCAAATTTCACTGGTCAGCCAAGAACCTATTCTCTTTGGCACTACGATCTATCACAACATCCGTTATGGTCTCATCGGGACCAAGTTCGAGCAAGAATCCGAGGAAAAGATCCGAGAGCTGATCGAGAATGCGGCCAGAATGGCCAATGCGCATGATTTCATCACGGCACTTCCCGAAGGATATGAGACCAACGTTGGTCAGCGCGGCTTTTTGCTTTCCGGTGGACAGAAGCAGCGTATCGCCATCGCGCGTGCTATCGTGAGCGATCCCAAAATTCTTCTCCTCGACGAAGCCACATCTGCGTTGGATACGAAATCCGAGGGCGTCGTACAAGCGGCACTGGACCGAGCTGCTGAAGGTCGAACCACTATCGTGATTGCCCACCGCCTGTCTACTATCAAGACGGCGCACAACATCGTTGTCATGGTGAATGGCAAGATTGTAGAGCAAGGAAACCACAACGAGCTTGTCAGCCGTAAGGGTACCTACCACAGTCTTGTTGAGGCCCAGCGTATCAACGAGGAAAAGGACGCGGAAGCCCTGGCTGCCGACGAGGATGTGGATGAGGAAGATTTCTCCAAACAGGAAATTGCGCGCATCAAGTCTGCCAGCAGCGGGTCTGGCTCTCTCGATGATGAGGATGAGAAATCCCTCGCCGGGAATGGACTGAACCGCAGTGGAACGCACAAGTCCATCTCCAGCGCCATTCTTTCTAAGCGGGAACCCGAGGTAGCTCGGAAGTACTCCCTCTGGACGTTGGTCAAATTCATCGCCTCTTTCAATCGCCCTGAGCTTAAGTATATGCTGATTGGCTTGGTCTTCGCCGTCCTTTCCGGTGGTGGCCAGCCGACTCAGGCTGTGCTCTACGCCAAAGCTATCAGTACACTTTCGTTGCCTACTAGCGAGGCCGCCAAAATCCGTCACGATGGGGCTTTTTGGGCTCTGATGTTCTTCGTTGTCGGAATTGCTCAGTTTATCAATCTTTCCATCAATGGTGCCGCATTTGCCGTCTGCTCAGAGCGACTGATTCGCCGCGCTCGTAGCATGGCCTTCAGATCGATTCTTCGCCAGGATATCACCTTCTTTGACCGAGAGGAA